TCAATTAGGAAATAAGGATCACATGAATTTGGGGGGAGGTTGGTCAAAACCAGACCAGACACAGGCCAGAGTCATAAAAGATGATTGGTTATCTGATCACAGAAAGGCAAAGGAGGTAAGAATCAATCACCACAAACAGACAAAAAGATATAGGACAAATTATTCTGAGTTGTGCAGAAATTCAGTGCTTAGCAGGGAGACAGTTTAAGGTGGAGATCACAGAACAGCATTTACCTGTGAAAAAGCAGAGAGGACATGATCAGGGGGCTGTGTTCAACTGCTGTTTTTGCACTCCAGTAGAAAACTCACGTAGGTCAATACCCTCCCCTCTGTGACTGTATGCCCAGTCTTTCATTCCTAGCCATTTATTGTGTATTATTGTGTTGAACTCTGTGATTGGCCACAGTGATCACGTGTCCAATCACAGTGCATCTGTACCATGTGATAGCTGTGACCAATCACAGCTTCTCAATAGTACATGGTGGATGAATTGATGCCATTCATAAAAAAGGATTTCTTATAATAGTTAATATCAAGGATCTAAGCAATCAGAGTGTGTAAAAAAAATCCTGTTAACCTCCCCAGAGTAGTACACTGTCACTAAGATAACACTGTATTGCTCCTCACAGTATGTAAAAAATTATTAAAAAAGAAAAAAAATATAATTAAAAAAAAAAGTTTTCCATTTAAAAAAAAAAAATAATTATTACTTTATTTTTTACATACTGTCATCAGTCAGTGTCCCTGATGATGCTCTACTGCACTGGTGACAGTATGCAAAAAATAAATAAATTGTGAAACCCCCCCAAGTTTGTAAATGTTTTCATTTTCCAAAACATTACAACTTCACCATGCCTCTTACTGTTGGACTGTCTACTTTCCAAAAAGGGGTCATTTGGGAGATATTCGTACTGTCCTGGCATTTTTGGGTCTCAAGAAATGAGTAAGGCCATTAGTACATCTGAATCAATCAATTTTCACATATATGTCCCATATAGTTTATATAACTTACTCTATAACTTTCCTACAGACTAAAAATAATATAAACTGATTTGGTTTATTTTGACAAAAGAAATGTAGCAGAATCCATGTTGGCCTAAATTTATGAAAAAAAGATTATTTGCAAAATGTTATAATAGAAATTAAGAAAAAAAATTTTTTTTTTAAATGTTTGGTCTTCTATTCATTTATTTAGCAAAAAATAAAAAAACCCACTGGGGATTAAATACCACCAAAAGAAACTCTATCTACAGGTGAAACTCGAAAAATTTGAATATCTTGCAAAAGTTCATTTATTTCAGTAATGCAACTTAAAAGGTGAAAATAATATATGAGTTAGGCTCATTACATGCAAAGCAAGATGGTTCAAGCCGTGATTTGTCATAATTGTGATGATTATGGCTTGCAGCTCAGAAAACCCCAAATCCACAATCTCAGAAAATTAGAATAGTGTGAAAAGGTGCAATATTCTCGGCTCAAAGTGTCCCACTCTAATCAGCTAATTAAGCCATAACACCTGTAAAGGGTTCCTGAGTCTTTAAATGGTCTCTCAGTCTGGTTCAGTAGGAATCACAATCTTGGGAAAGACTGCTGACCTGACAGTTGTGGAGAAAAACCATTATTGACACCTTCCATAAGGAGGGAAAGCTTCAAAAGGTAATTGCAAAAGAAGTTGGATGTTCCCAAAGTGCTGTATCAAAGCACATTAATAGAAAGTTATGTGGAAGGGAAAAGTGTGGAAGAAAAAGGTGCACAAGCAACAGGGATGACCGCAGCCTGGAGAGGATTGTCAGGAAAAGGCCATTCAAAAGTGTTGGGTACTTTCACAAGGAGTGGACTGAGGCTGGAGTCAGTGCATCAAGAGCCACCACATACAGACGGATCGTGGACATGGGCTTCAAATGTCGTATTCCTCTTGTCAAGCCGCTCCTAAACAACAAACAACGTCAGAAGCGTCTTACCTGGGCTAAAGAAAAACAGACCTGGTCTGTTGCTTAGTGGTCCAAAGTCCTCTTTTCTGATGAGAGCAACTTTTGCTTCTCATTTGGAAACCAAGGACCCAGAGTATGGAGGAAGAATGGATAGGCACACACTGCAAGGTGCTTGAATTCCAGTGTGAAGTTTCCACAGTCTGTGTTGATTTGGGGAGCCATGTCATCTGCTGGTGTTGGTCCACTGTGCTTCATTAAGTCCAGGGTCAACGCAGCCGTCTACCAGGAGATTTTGGAGCACTTCATGCTTCCTTCCACAGACGAGCTTTATGGGGATGCTGGCTTCATTTTCCAGCTGGACTTGGCACCTGCCCACACTGCCAAAAGCGCCAAAACCTGGTTCAATGACCGTGGAGATTACTGTGCTTGATTGGCCAGCAAACTCGCCTGACTTGAACCCCATAGAGAATCTATGGGGCATTGCCAAGAGAAAGATGAGAGACATGAGACCAAACAATGCAGAAGAGCTGAAGGCCGCTATTGAAGCATCCTGGTCTTCCATAACACCTCAGCAGTGCCACAGGCTGATAGATTCCATGCCACGCCACATTGAGGCAGTAATTTCTGCAAAATGGGCCCAAACCAAGTACTGAGTACATATGCATGCTTATACTTTTCAGAGGTCCGATATTGTTCTATGTACAATCCTTGTTTTATTGATTGCATGTAATATTCTAATTTTCTGAGATTGTGGATTTGGGGTTTTCATGAGCTGTAAGCCATAATCTTCACAATTATGACAAATCACGACTTGAACTATCTTGCTTTGCATGTAATGAGTCTATCTCATATATTAGTTTCACCTTTTAAGTTGCATTACTGAAATAAATGAACTTTTGCACGATATTCTAATTTTTCAAGTTTCACCTGTATAGTCTCAAAAAAGATAAAAATGTAAATTGTGTACAGCGTTGCATGACTGAATAATTGTCATTAAAAGTGTGAGAGAACTGAAAGCTGAAAATTGGGCTGGTCAGGAAGAGTTTGAAAGTGTCCTGTACTGAGCTGGTTAATGTTCATGGTTTTAACGCAATGTATGATGTCCATGGGCTCTTAAGGCCTGAAGTAGGTTTTACATACAATATTAGTTGGTTACAAGTTTGAAAATATATGACTTGTCAGTGCTTTTAAAAAGGGAAAAAGGGAAATGTGTGATAAAATAGAAATAAATTCTGCTTTGCATGCTGTGTTTGTAATATGCCTTAGTTCTCTATGCAGGGTTCAGTTGCACCAAGTAAATGGAAAGCCTAAAAGCCATAAAAGAAATGTATGACGTGTTATGTGATGTGAGATGTTTATTCACATGCAGTGTAAACAAGAAATACCTGCTTGCATGGACAGCCACTGATCTTGGACTGATACCATCATTTATATCCCTATCCCACGTCTCCCAGTTATTTGTGAACAACTTGGCATGTACATGGAGCAGAACTAGACATAGAGGGGATATCTTAAAACACAACCTGTGCATGTGGGGGCAGCTTAGAGTGGAACCCAGCCAATTTTCTTTTAGAATAAGTGCCTCTATCTGTGTCTCTATTGGGGAATTCGCCATCACTATGTGTTTGTGTCCACTGATAAAGACTGGACCTGGACAGAAAGTGGGGGATCTCTCTAGTAGAGATATAATTGCCTGTAAAACCCGAACAGGGATACTGATCCCTCTCCACTCTACTTTGGGGGGGGAACAACTTTTTTTTGTTTGAGAGAGTTCCTTGTCTAGTTCAGTAGCCTTTGGGTAATTAATACCATTTGTGATTTTTTTTTTTTTTGCCATACTTGGTGTCAGCGAGTGCCACTAGATTACTAATGCTGGACTCTATAAAGGAGTAACTGGAATAATTAGTGGGGGTGATTCCATCAGTTCTTGGTTGACATAAAGCAGATTAGTTACGGTGCAGGGAAACATAATAAGAATATTGGCAAGACGATCCCAAGGTCTGGAGTCTTTGTTAGGAGCAGCAGTCAGGGAAAGCTGTACTACTAAGGCTCCGTTCACACCAATGCTTTTTTTAGTGCTCTTTGCAGAAATGCACTACAGCCCATTTAACAAGGTTTCCTATAGGACATGTTTACATCTATGCTTTTTTGAGCAGCTGCATTTTTGGAAAGGTTCAGAGACTTTTTTTAAAAGCAAAAAGCAGTGTGTTAATAGAGCTTAATAGAGAAGCTGCTGAAATGCATGGAACGTTTTTGCCGCATTATGCATTTTTATTCTGTCCAGCAATAAGAAAATTCCGCTTTAACAAAAAAAAAAAAAGCTGCACAAAACTCAATACATGGTAAAAATGCATGTAGAAAAACACAAAATAAACTGCAAAAAGCACTGGAGAAAGCATCAAATGCAGAATTCATATATGAGAACCAAACCTAAGAGAAGTGGTCTGCCATTGCCAGCTACTTCCGGGAAAAGGCAGATTTTTGCATTCCGAATCAGAACAAATCTGCAGATGATATCAGAATACTGATTTGTTCTGGGTCAGTGCCTTGGAAATCACTGAAGCTGTTGGATTGGCATCACAGCCAGATGTCTAGATTTGGTAAATGGGAAGTCAGCAGTTGCAACTCACATTTTGTTTTTTGTTTTTTTCAGTACAGGTTTCTTTTAAAGTCTGCTTTTTAATTTTTGGATGTCTCATGAAAAAGAAGAAAAACAAAATAATACTATCTAGCCCTTATACAACATGTAGTTTTGTTTAATCCATATGCCTATATACAAAGTGCTGTGGTTAGGAACAAGCATTTTGGTAAAAATAAACTTTTATTGCAAATACTACTTGTAGGTCACAGTCATAGTAAGAACAAGCACACCTAAACCTGAGATTATTTGTTTATTGGTGATTATCATCCTGACTAGAGTTGAACTTGAACCACCAGGAGTCTACTGAAATCTAATACATCACATCGGATTTTGGACTTTTTTTTTTATTTTTTAATGCACATATAATAATATATCGTAGAATGTCTGTATACAATTTTCTGCAGCTTCTATTTTTGTCGACCTTTCAGGTGGCCATACAACTGAAATCCTGAGACTACTAAGCAGTTTGTCCACATCATATTCACCAATTCACTATGTACTTGCTGAAACAGATAAGATGAGTGAAGACAAAATCTGTTCTTTTGAAAGTGCCAAAGTCAATGGGATCCCCAAGCCACTGGTAAGTATGCTATTTATTTTGGACTACATGGTTCCTGAAGCTTAAAGAATATGTAAACTCAAAATTTCCTACTCCTGATATGTACTTGCTGTACCATGTACTTGTATGAAAATGTATCCTGTTTTCTTTGTATTGCTTTCTTTGTTTGAAATCCCCAGTGTTCCTGCCAGTCCCTCTGCTTTCCTATCACAAACTGACTAGGCATGAGCGCATAGTGTGGCCTAACTGAGCTGGAAACTCAGATTTCTGCTGACCACCCCCCCCCCCCCCCATGGCTAAGCATAAATGAGTACACCCAACAGGTTTGGCAGAAAACCTTTACTTTCTTTTCAGAATCAATGTTTTCTATGGGACACTATACTACAGAATACTCCCGCAAATGTGGGTCATTAATTGCGAACAAGATTTATTAATTTGCCAACATAAGACAGTATTTTTCCTAACATTCATTCAAGACCACATTGCAAAATAAATACACCCCAATAAAAGTCTTTGGAACAAAGCAAAATTTTAGACAACAAAATCTTAATTAACAAGGTGAGTCTAATTATTCATTAAACAGGTGTCCAGCAGACAGTTGATTATAAAAGGGTGTTACATAACAAAGAAAACCCCTTCCCTTTTCATGCTGTCAACAATGACACCACCTGGAAGAGAAATGTCACAAGACCTGAGAAAGAAAATAATTTCTTTACGCAAAAAAGGTGAAAGCTACAAGAAGATCAGCAAAGCTTTACTTATCAGCCAGTATACTGTAGCAAAAGTGATACAAAAAAATTTAACAAATATGGTACTGCAACCATCTCACACAGACGTTCAGGCTGTCCACAGAAGTTAAGACCTCAAAAGGAGTGTCTTCTGATGAGAAGGGTTGAAGAAAATTGCCATGTTTACTGCAGTTAGCTAAAGAACAAACTGGGGTGATTGTTTCCCGTGACACAATACGGTGTACACTGCAGAGGAATGGTATGCATGGGTGTTGTCCACGAAGGAGGCCTCTCCTAAAGCTTATGCACAAAAAAGCCCGCCTAGAATTTGCCAGGGCCCATGCTGAAAAAGAACACTACTGGGACCAAGAGAAATGTTTTTGGAACTGATTGCTTCAAAACTGTATGTTGTCGCAAAGGTGAGGAGTACAAAGAAAAATGCATGGTGCCTACAGTGAAACGTGGTGGCAGTGTCCTTCTGTGGAGCTACATAAGTGCTGCTGGTGTTGTGGAGCTGCATTTCATTGATGGTATCATCAATTGACAGATGTACTGCTCTATATTGAAAGAAGATGCTACCATCACACCATTAACTTGATCATCGTGCACTTTTTCAAGATTACAATGATCCAAAACACACATCTAAGGCCACTGTTGCATTTCTAAAGAAGAACAGGGTGAAAGTGATTCAGTGGCCAAGTATGTCTCCTAATCAACAAATATCCCACGCTACCATACACCAAACAATCTGTGACTAAAATTATTGTGCCAACTAAACAAATTTGTGTTAAAGAATGCTGCTGCTCAAAACTGAATTACACTAATATATAACAATTACTAATGGTGCATTACAAAATAAAGTCCTTATATTTAGTGCTTTGTGCTCATGTGCTCATGTGCTCCAATACAGTGTCACATGCTCTAAGAAAAATCCAAAATAAATATCCTGTGCCTTGAAACAAATTTCAACCACGTGCTCAGTGATCCCTCCCCTGTGCACTCCACACTCATCAGACATGGTGAACTCCTAGCTTTATGGGCTTAAGAGTCAAAATTATTAATGCAATTTGCCAGCACTTCGGGTCCTGGCCGCCTAGGTGATTATGTCATCAGGTGATTCCTTTGGACTCCTGAGATATCAGTGTCCTATTTTCCAGGAGTCTTTTGAGTAGCCTAATAGTATTGCATTAACTATATGAGTTATCTACATGAAAATGGAATATATTGACAGATCAAACCATTAGCCCATAAAGCTAGGAGTCCACCACATCTGGTGAGTGTGGAGTGCACAGCGGAGGGATCACTGAGCACTATGTGGTTGAAATTAGTTTCAAGGCATGGGCTATTCATTTTGGAATTTTCTTCAGAGCATGTGACACTGCATTGTAGCACGAAGCACTAGATATAAGGACTTTATTTGGTAATGCGCTGTGTTTATTAGTAATTAAGTATGTCTCCTGATCTGATCCTAATCAAACACCTATGGGAAATACTGAAGAGACAAGTTGAGCATTACTCTCGATCCAGCATCCAGGCTCTAAAAGAGGTCATTCTTGAAGAATGGAAAAAGAATCATGTTGCAGTATGTCGCTGACTTATTCATTCCATGCCTAGAAGACTTGGTGCTGTCCTTACAAATTATGGATCATCATACAAAATACTAGATGTAGTAGTTTTTGTTGTGGGGTGTGTTCATTTTTGCATCAACTAATTTGAGTAAAACTGAAGATTTTGTAATCCAAGTTATATAATTAACCTTACATTCATGTAATGAGCTAAACAAATGTTCTATAAAACGCAGTTTTGGCAAAATTGTGGAAATTGTTCTTGTGTTCATTGAGATATTGATTCAATTTTTACTTTTCAAAAGGTGTTTACTCATTTATGCTGAGTTTTGTATATGTATACATAATGTAATGTAAACTCCAAAGTCATGGAATATAGTTGAGTTTCACTCCCCATCCATTAATGAAAAAGGGAAAAGTCATGGAAGTCTCACATCTCTGCAAAACCCCATAAAGTTTATGACCGCCTCAGCCCAAGCTCTAACCAGGCCACTCCCTCAATGCATTTCACTCCACCCACAGAGCTTAGTTATAGGGAACCCGCTTCTGGACTGAGACTGTCATACACCTTATGGGTTTTTTGCAGAGATGTGAGACTTCCAGGACTTTTCCATTAGATGTCTAGAGCTGGGACAAGCTCTGTCCTTGTCTGCACTCCAAGCAGTTGCTACATGAGAGGACCTGGTGAAGCCTTGAGCGGCTCCTGTCAATTTAGTTTGGGCCCTATTCCTGTAAGCCAAGAAAACCCAGCGTGCTGAGCTGAAGAAAGGAAGAACAAGAATTTATTTTCCTGGCCAGCTGAACGAAAAAAAAAATGAACAGCTTTCTCCATCTACATACTCAATATGGATGGGAAAATCCTCACACTGTGTCTTTGTATCCTGAAAGCAGGACTCACCCGCTGTCAGAAAATACTGATCAGTGCTGCAGCCCATTGGCTAAATGCGTTGATCGAATGTTGGTTTTCCAGCAGGACCTTCAACAGAAGCTGGTCTAACGACTGGCTTCTGTTGAACAGAGGGCTATACACAGATCAAAATTTTCATCCATGTATGGCCAGCTTTAGGGTGTCTGCATTCTGGTTAAAGTAGTAAAACAGACCTCTTTGGACAGCTGCATTATCAATCTTGGGGGAGGGTGGTGTTAAGCTGGGTTCACAGGAATCAAAATTCAGCAGGTCATGCTTAGATCTGTGGGGGTTTTTTTTTTTTTCAACCCGCTGGTTGTCAGTGTGGGGTTCACCAGGTGAAATAAAGGAATAAAGCCTAAACAAAACAAAACTCTTGTTTTATAATGACACTACACTAAGCTATATTCTCTGACCTTTTGTACAGAGGCCAGTACTGGTTGCCTCTGTACAAGAGGTCAGGGAATTGACACAATTGGTTGATTTGTGTGTTACACCAGATACAATGTTTGGTACATAATCAGTTCAGATGCTGAAAAAGTTTTACACATGTGGATTCTCCATACTAAGAAGGCATATCAGAATGTGTTTTGGGGTGTAATTTAAGTATGCCTGTGCTGTGTGTTAGAAGTATCTTATTAATTAACAACTTTGTGTAAAAAAAAAAAAAAAAAAAAAAAAAAACATTTTCTTTTTTTACTCAAATTTTTTTTTACCACAAAAGTTTGGAAAATGCGAAGTCTTCCAAAGACTTACCATGCCTCTAAACAAAAAGTGGGATATTTGTTTCCCAAATGTGGGCATTTCCACTATCCAAGTTCACCAGGCTCTCCAAAAAGGTAGTCAGGAAATTAGATGCATAATTTATGCTCCTGGAACAACAGAAAGGGCTCCTTGGATTTTTTGCCCCTCTGTGTTTTAGCACTGAAAAAGTTTAATTCATGTGGTATCGGCATACTTAGGAGGAGTAGCAAAATGTGCTTTGGGGTATAATTATAAGTATGCTTATGCTGTGTGTTAGAAGTATCTTATTAAATGAGTATTAAAGTGGTAGTAAACTCCGAGTGGACACGTGTACCTACATGTAAGCTTATAATAAAGCTTGCCTGTAGGTACGAGGAATATTTCCTAAACATGCACCGTTTAGAAGATATTCAGTGTCCCTGCAGCCGATGACGTCACAGGTATGCTGTTCTTTCAGAGTTCTGTGCCGAAGCCGCTGAGACTGGGTGAAGATGGAAGCCCTGTCAGTGGTGACAGTGCTCTGCTAGAGGGCTTCGTTTTAAGGTAAGTCTTTCATAATGTGCTATTATGGAATGCATACTAGCATATTATGAATGCATACTAGCATATTATGACATTACTTTGCAGGGAGATTTTCTTTTTCTGTAGAGTTTACTACCACTTTAAAGTATGGGATGAGCTAAATAATTAACAAATAATACCATAATCATGAATCAGTTGTTTTTTTTTTCCTCATTCCTTTTGGTTTTCCAGCTGGGGCACTTCATCTGTCATGTAGGTCCCAGTAACAGTCCATTTGCTGTTTGAAAATTTTGAGGGGGCGGCTGCTACAACTTCAGCAATACACCTTCTCTTTCTGTCCCTCCTCCACTGGGAGATGTGGCTGTACCTACTTAACAGACACGCACCTGAACTATAAACAAGTGGAAAAATACATGCGTGGTGTAGACAAGGTTGGATCTAGGGGGAGATTTTGGAGAGGGATGTGCCCCCCACAGGGCCGTCTTTAATTTTGATTGGACCCTGGGCGAACATTTTTCTTGCCCCCACCCCATGCAGTTTCACTCTCCACCCCAA